TTTCACCATCTTTGAATCTTACAAAATGAGCCAGATTACAGAAAACAAAAGGCATGGCTAATCCTTAAGCAGTCTGCATTCTTAAAGGAAGAAGATAGACATTTGTTTTCCCTGCTTCTGCATCAAATATTTGCTATGTCCACATATGTATCTACAGTCCGAAGCAGTGCATCAGAGACTTCTTTAATTGGCATTCTGCAAAGTATCAGTGATCTTGAGCACCTTTCCATGGGTCTGTGAACCAAATGGGGAGTGGAGTGCTCTCTGAAGTGTGTCCACTCCTTCCTAGTCTTGTCTCGTTATTTTCAGATCAAAGCTAAGCTTGCCTACATGGTTTCCAGACTCTTCTTGGCATGGCTCTAGGTATGTCTCAGACATTGTGCCATTTGACATTTCCCTGCTTGCATGGAAAACTCTATCTTTGGTCTCTGTTCCTAACCTTTCCAGCCTGGTTGCTGTCTAGGCTGTTCTATCTGCCCAGGAAACTTGTTGAACCCCTTTATTCTCCTCAAATCCACACAGACACAACAGATGTCTGTCCTCACATAACATTGAAGTCATCTCCAGGATCCTGTTCTGGAGCACCCTCTCATTTGTACTTACCAATCTTAGCTTTTACTACGTTGATTGTTGATTCATTTTTTAACCTTCCCACAGACTATAAACTTGTTGAATATTGCATGTTTTGTGGTCTCTGTACCTAGCATGATAACTGAAATATGCCCCGTGTCAACCCAGTGAGTGTACTTTGTATGGATAGAGAAGGTAGGGGTGGTGCATGCCTGAAGGAGCTGTTTTATCCATCTCTGCAGCCCCAGAAGCTTGCCTGCTCACAGACTGGTGGCAAGACTGCAAGCCTTGAAAGCTTCTAGATCTTTACAAAACATGGTATTCAGTACAATCTTGGGCTCACATTCTGTATGTTCTGGGATCAGGAACTTGACTGTACATTTCCCTGATGCTCATGAGTCAAGAAACTAGGGGAGAAAAGAGCATTACCTGGCTTCAGTCTTTACTTTTTAAATCGTGCTTCCTCAAAGTCCATATGTTAGGAACTTAACCCCCCAGTGGCGCAATGTGAAAAGCAGAGTCAGGTAGGAGTTGCTTGGGCTCCACCTCCATGAGCACAAACTGCTGCTGCTCTGGGACTGGGTCCGTTCCGACAACATGACAAAGGTCAGTCTTTCATGGTGTTGTCAGTCTCTGACTCCCCCCTACTCTAACCTCATGTATTTCTTTCTGGCCACATGTATCTTCTGCCATGCTATAATGTAGCAAGAAGACCCTTGCCAGAGGCAGTTGTTGATCTGGAACTACCTAGTCTCCAGGACATGAGCCAAAAAATTTTCCATTATTTATAAACTATCTGGCTGTGGCATTTAGATACAGCAGCTGAAAGCAGAGGATGAGTTCCCCTGACATTTCATGACTACTTCTGTGTCTGCCTAATACCTCAGGAGGCCTTTACAATGAGAACGGAAACCTTTGTCTTTTTCTTCAGTTGGTAGAGAACTCCTGTATGGGTGAGGAAGACAGAGAAAGTAAGTTTCCCCCTCACTTGGTAGGATGTAAGTCCAGCTATCTCTTGCATGCCATCTCTCCTGACTTCCTTTCTGGAGAAAATGTATACCCAATTATATTCAAGATGACTTGTTTTTGAGATTCTGTGCCTCTGACTATGACTATTTTTGGAGACAAGGCCTTTAAAGAGGCAATTAGTCTAAATGAGGCCATTAGGATTGTCCCAGGCATCACAGAGGAATGCCCACATGAACACCCAGAACAGACTGTCAGCTGCACCCATGCCAACACTTTCCCTTTGGATACCCAGCCCCTGCCCCATGCCAACAGTTTCCCTTTGGATACCCAGCGGCCCCTCCCCACCCCCGAACCAGGACAGATTGAATTCCTGTTGTATAAGCCACCAAATACAGGCTATGTATTTGAAGCCATAGAAAAATGAAACATAATATAGGAAACTGACACAATATTGTGCTGTAGCCACCCTCCTAAAGCTTTAGTGTGTGAGTTGAAATGATGGGACTGCCCAGTCCTATCCCAAACTGAGGAGAGAGCCCAGAGTGACCATATGCCCCTTTTCTCAAACAAACTCTCACTGCTGGATCCGGGTGGGCAATGGGGAGATCAACTAGCTCTAGTTTGACCACAAGCTAGCACAGAGCCTGATAATTGTCACATAAAGGGAAGTGGCTACATGTAATCCACAGAAAATAAAAGCAAAGGAAACTGATGCTGCCTCCAACTCGATGAAATGCCGCCTTCTGGTTTTTAAAAAAATTTATATTTATAAGATGTTTACCTGTATGTTTGTGTGTGCACCATATTCATGCCTGCTGCCTGTGGAGATCAGAAGAGGGCAAGAGTAGCAGGTCCTCTGGAACTGGAGTTACAGATGGTTGTGAGCCACCATGTGCGGGGCTGGGAATTGAACCTGCATCATCTGAAGAACAGCAAGTGGTCTTAACCACTGAGTCATCTCTCCAACTCTTGAGAGTTTGTCTTAAAGAAGGAGAATTTGACTTAGCTGCGTGGGCCCAGAAAGGAGAGGCAGAACATTTCAGGAAGGGTCCATCTTGGTTCTGTTATAGCTTTGCCAACTTAATGTAAAGTGGATATACCTGAGAAGAGGGAATCTCAACTGAAAAATTGTCTCCATGTGGCCATGTCTGTGGGAACTTTTTCTTAAATGCTAGTTAAATGCAGGAGGGCCCAACCTACTGTATGAGCATGTATGTGTGCCTGTGTACATGTGCACATGTGTGCGTGTGTATGTGTGTGTGGTTCCTGGGCAGATGAGCCTGAGCTGTAATGCGAAAGTCCCAAGCAACTCTTGGGAAGTAAAGCTGGTAAGCAAGCATCAGTCCTCCATGCCCTGCCCCCTGCTTCAGTTCCTCCTTAGTTTCTGGTTTGCCTTTCCTTAATGGTGGACTGTAACTTGTAAGCCAAGTAAAAATCTTTCCCTCCCCAAGTTGTTTTTGGTCAGTGTTTTATCACAATAATAGAAAAACAAAAACAAACAAACAAACAAGCCAAAGTAGAGCAGTCTCACACAAGGAAGGCTACTGGCAATTACAACAAGCTTCCTCAGGTACTGGATGAGGAGGCTACACGATCTTGTTCACAAAGAATTTAATTTTTGTGGTACTAGGGTGGGAGCCCTGAGCCTCACACAAGAGCTAGGCAAATGGTCTACTACTGAGACATACCTCCAACTGGATACCACTGCGGCAGAAAGCAGACGCAGATCTCGCCTTTGGGCCAGATGAACTCCTGGATGTTCCTGTTGGCCCTGGCATTCTGTATAAACCAATTGTTGCGGCTAAGGGGCAGATTTCAGTTATGTTTGTCTCATGGTCAACAAATAGTTTTATGCCCTGTGGATCTGACCAATATTTTAAAATGGTAGATATTTTACTGAGAATAAACTAGAATAAATATTCAATTTGCAGCGAACAATCTTAGGACCTTGGAAACACAGAAAAATGGCCCAAGTAATGCTTTGGGGCCTCAAAGTACACACTTTAGCAGGAATGCATTTGTGATAGTCAAAACTGTTAAACTTACTCTGTGCAAAGCTGACATCTCAATTTTACAAATCGAAAAAAAAAACTCAACGACATTGAACTAGGTTTATCTACTAAAAGCTAATTTCTACTGCAAGAATTTGTTAAAATTACTCACAGTAAGAGGCAGCACGGTAAAAGCTGTAATTTCCCAACTACCTTCAGTATGTGAGATTTTGGGAAAGTCGATAGAAGGACGAGATGATTTGGTGGCTGTATCAGAAACATGGTTTTTCATATCCACAAATTGCTACAGAATAATGGAGTACTAGTGGTTCAAAAATACTGCCTGCTGGCACTAACTCATTAAGGCACACCCCTTAATCACTGTGCCTGGAATGTGGACCCTCAGAGCCCAGCCCAGACCGGAGAGGGAAGCCTCACTTGCTGGGGAACAGAAAAGGTTGAGAGAGCAGAGCTAGCAGCAAGCTCAACTGAAGACACCAGGAAGGGACCACTGGCCAGGGTAACTTTCTTTCCTGGGGACCCCTGATTCTTTCGGGTTCTTACCCACAGTAAATAAGCCTCCCCTTCCGGTGATACCCAGTTTTCCGCATTGGCATCCTGCATCTCACCGCCTGGTCACTTGCCTCCCTGGGGGAGAGCCTCTCAAGAGAAAGCTCCGAGAGCATGCATCTCCAAAGCAGCCAAGAGGGAAAATGCCGACGATGCAAGGGACCAGATACCGAGACCCAGTCTCCTCTGGCTGTCCACTGGGCTGTAGGAGAAGCGCAGACCCTGTGGAGATGCTCGGGGTTACCAAGAACTTGAGGTTTTAGCAGCAAGGGTCGTGCTTACTCCGCCCCATTCAAGCTAACCCTGTCATCTGTGATGGTCCTGAGTGGGATCGCGCTGTCCACCTCCACCTTCGAGGTCGCAGCCTCTGGTGGCACGCACGGCACTAAGGGCCCCAGAGGCCACTGGTGAAGGCTCGGGGTGCAGACCTGCCGGGTGTGCGCGTGCGTGTGCCTGGGTATGTGTGCGTGCATATGCGTATGCGCGTGTGTGATTGCGTGTGCGTGTGTGCCGCCGCCTGGCGACTCGTGCCCGACAGGTGCAGGCGCGCCGGCTTCCCATTGGCCACGGAGTCCTCCTCCGCCCACGCCATCCCCCTTACCCCTGCTACCGGCGCTGGCTGGGACCCGCCGAGGCGCGTGCAGGCCCGCGCGCCCCTGCTTTGCCCGCGCGCGCCCGGGCCTTGTCTCTTCCTCCCCTTCTCCGCGCCGCCGCCGCCGCCGCGCGCCCCCGAGCTCAGGTAGCGGGCGCGCGGGCGCCTCCCCGGGGGCGCGCAGCCCGGCAGCCGTGGCCCTCGTCACCCCCGCCCCCGGCCACTCGGGGGAGCCCGGGGAGGGAGCGCGCGGCGGGACGGGCGGGGGCGGTGTAGCCCAGCAGCCGCCGAGGCTTCCGTCTCGCTCGCTCGCTCCTCTGTCTTGCTCGCTCGCTTGCTCGCTCGCTCGCGCAGCGGCGGCAGCAGAGGTCGCGCACAGATGCGGGTTAGACTGGCGGGGGGAGGAGGCGGAGGAGGGAAGGAAGCTGCATGCATGAGACCCACAGGTAAGAGCCGGAGCCCGGAAGGGGATTGCCTGCCCCGGGGAGGCTTGCGAAGGCCGGGCTGGGCGAGTTGGCTCCTGGCTCGGCTCCCCTCAGGGAGGAATTTTTAAAATAAAAATAACAGCTCAGATTTAATAAGGGACTGGGGCAATAGGAGCCTCCCAATCCTTGAAAAAGCCGAGAAGTATCCAGGGGCAGCAGGGGGCACATTGTGACATTCCTCAGAGTGAAATGTACAGGCCCGGGCAAAAGTGTTTTCTCAGCCGCTTGATGCTAGAAGGCTTTAGACTTTCCTGTCAGGATCAGAACTGCTGAATCCCGGGGACCAGCACAGAGCCAGTGTGCACTAACCCCTGTCCTCTCTCCCCTCCTCCATCCCTCCCGCACGCGCAGTATCCCATGGTGGCTGCTACTCTCTGGACCCTGCATGGGGGGTGGCAGGGAGGATCTCACTGTGGGAAAGGGGGCGGGGGCTGCGCAGGGGTGAACAGGGATGGATGGAGCCGGCAAAGCCCTGGCACCCGGTCCCCAGGGCGGAGGAGGGAAAGCTTGGCCCCAGAGCCCGGGCAATCCCGGGGTATTGTCGTGTTCCGCTCCTGGTTGCAGACTCTTGCAAGCTGGATGCCCTCTGTGGATGAAAGATGTATCATGGAATGAACCCGAGCAATGGAGATGGATTTCTAGAGCAGCAGCTGCAGCAACAGCAGCCTCAGTCCCCCCAGAGACTCTTGGCCGTGATCCTGTGGTTTCAACTGGCGCTGTGCTTTGTCCCTGCACAGCTCACGGGTGGTGAGTGACCCCGCTGTGATGGGGGGGCATTAGACGGCCTAGCAGGGAGGGGAGCCTGTGCTGACAGGACAGCACTGCGCCTCCTGCATACATGCAGACTTTAGGGGTGCCTGAGAAATAGAGTCCCTGCATCCCAGCCTTCTGCAAAACCCCTGGAGTTTACAGAAAATTCTGTGGAACCGGTGTAGGTTCGCACACCCACTGGCAGCCCAGTTGGGCTTTTCTGAAGGAAGGACAAAAAGCCTGGTGCATTTTCCCATTTTGGCCCAGAGGAAAACGAGGATTAGAGGAGTGGGGGCCCAGAGTATTTGTGACCCTTCAACCCTTGAGCTCTGCCCTCTGCAGATAGGTCGGGACTGGGCTTCTGGATAGAATAAAGCGCCTTTAAAAATGTAAAGGCTCTGAAACATGGTCAGACCAGTTGAAGGACAGGTTTATTTGAAAGTTAACTTTCTCTTTCTTAGAGGTGGTGTGCTGATGTCGGTGGCTGTTGGGGGTGGGGAAGGGTGGTAGGGCTTTCCTTCAGGTATGTTTCTGGAAGACTGCTTAGCAAGGTCTGATTTATAGGGGGGATTAAGTCAAGTAGTCTTCTATGGAGTGGAAGTTCTGAGATCAAATTGATAGCCCCAGTCCCTGTAGGCGGCTAATCTATAATATACTTGATTCCAAAAGAGAGGGCTATCTTTCGGTTGTGGTCGAGGAAGACAGATGGAGTTCCTGTCTGAATTTCCCCCTCTTGAGTATCTTCCTTTCTCCCTTGTACACCACTGTCCATCATTCCTGTCTGTTCTAGATCCTCCTTGAGACATTGCTGATGTGGGCACATGAAGGACGGGTTTGCGGTCCGTCTCATAGCTAAAATACTTTGGATGCCTAAGTAGATTGTCATTCGATGAAAAGCAAGTATTGCTTGGTGTAAATGAACCATTTCTGTGTTGGAAAATATTGCTGTTTCAGAGTCTTTGAAGGTGAAGACGGGGCAAACAAGTGAGCAGAAATTTAGCAAAACTGAGGGAAGAGAGCGAAAACAGGCCTTAGCACAGAGCAGTCGGTAGGTAATTCAGGTGTTCCACACAGCAGCCATATGACGTCTAGGGTGTGAAAGTGTTTATAGTGGTGTGCGAAGAGTCAGAATTATAGAGGAAACTTACTTTTGCTTTGGATGGAGAAGGTGGGTGGTTATTTTTACTTTATTTTTTTCCCAAGGAGTAACTTTGTATGCTGTTATTTCAGTTTTTATTAGAAGAAGCTCAGAGGCAGATAACTTTCTTCGTGGAGGACAAGGTCAAGTGTGAGTCCAGACCATGCCTTTGTAGCCTGCCAGGACTCTTCTCTCTCTGGATACTAACTCTACCTCATGAGTAGTTGGAGGCTGCCACTGAACAGGTCTAGGTCTTTTCCTCTTAGCTTGCCTTTCAGTTCTGACTCCCAGTCTTTCTAACCAGGTCCATATGCTTTTCCATCTCCTGGCACAGGTCTCCCATGTAGATGTCAGATGAGCTAATCGGAGTCCATCTACCCAAGTCTCTGCCGTTGTTATTGGATGTATGAATGAGGTCTGAGCATGCACTGGATTTAAGGGCTTGGTTTCATCCATTACTGTTTTCAGGGCTTTCTCAGCTTTGTTTCCCAAGACCCACTGGACTCACCAGTCACCTTTGCAGTTCGAACAGTTTGTACAGTGGTGTCTTTCTTTATCCCTTCCCAGAGCTTTGAAAACAGAGGGGATGAGGGCTCCCTGTCACACTCCAGTGTCAGAACCCTTTCCCTTTAGGGATCATGTGCTGCAGAAGGGCTGGCCACCAACCTGGTGTCACCTTCAATTCTTTTTTTTTTTGGCTGACACTGATACAAAGAGGAATACTTATCATTCCAGGATTCCCCCACGAATCCAGTTTGGGTAGGAAAGAACAGTGGGGGATATCCTAAGGCATCAACTAAACTGGTTTACTTTCTTAGAAAAGAAATCTATGGAGTATCCATACTGGTTGACAGTAAAGGCGAATTTACCTTTACTCCTGACCTTTGCTCTTAAAAGTTCCATGTGTATGCGAAAAAACTGGGATCTTGTTAAAAAATAAATCCTGATTCCGTTTGCTCTGAGTGGTCCCTAAAAGACTGCATTTCTATGTTATTTATTAGTTTTATTTATGTTCGTGTGTGAGTATCTGCCCATGTTTGTGTCAGTTCCTTAGGAGACCAGAAGAGAGCACTGGATTCCCTGAAGCTTGAGGTTCAGTCAGTCATGAGCTGCACCATGTGGGTGCTGGGATCCGAACTCAGGTCCTCTAGGAAGATTGGCGGGTGATCTTAACTTTGGAGACATCTCTTCAACGCCAAGAGTCTATATTCAAACAAGCTTCTGGGTAAAGCCTTTGCTACTGGTACGAAGACCACAGTTTGATTAGCAATGCTTTAGACTAATGTATTCCTTAGAATAAGTTTCATCTACCTCCAGACTTCCTGACCTCCTTCTCAATTACCAGATGCAGATGGCCAGCTAAGGAGCAAAAGTCTCACCCTGTGTCTAATCTGTAGGTGAAACACAGCTGAAATCAGCCCTCAGAGTGCTTTCCTTTTTTAACCCACAAAAGGTGCATATTTAATAGACCCTGTTCTGAAATGTGGATTTTCATTTTTGATTGCTTTCAGAGGAAAAAGAACACCACAATAGTAAGGTATAATAGTCAGAGCTAGGAGAGGGGGAGAAATCATGTGCCCAATATAAGTATTACAGAAAAAAAAGCCTGAACTAGAAAGGGAGAAATTGAGAAAATGACCAGACAAAAGAGGAGAGAGAAAAGAACTCCATCAAAACTGAAATGCTTTGTCCTGGGAAGCCAGAGATCCAATTCAACTCTTTGAACCCTAGGAGAGCTTTTATAAGCCTGGCTTAGCTTGTGGTGACTCTGGGTGGCTCTGCCTGGGCTGTCTTTTGTCAGCTGGGTAGAAGGGTCCTCATTCGGAGCCTCTAAAAAGGATTGTCCTGAGCAGACTCCTACCAGGCTTATGGGGGTTGGGGAGGGGTGGATACAGGGCCCTGCTGTGCCCAGAATTCTTGTGGACTGTGTCTTCAGTTGGTTTTCTCCTTTTGCCTCAGTCTACTTTCCCAGAGGCCTTCAGGATTTTGAGGAATGACTAGAGAAATCACCTAGATGTATAGGAAAAGGACCTAGGCTTTGTCCTAGAAGTTACTTCTCAGAGATGAGCTCCTATTGTGGGAAACTCAGGGTGGGCTCTGATACTTGATGGCTTTGAGGGTGTGTGTGTGTGTGTGTGTGTGTGTGTGTGAGCTTCCTTATCTTTGAAATGAGGATTTTATAAATTTTAGGGAGTTGGTATCAGGGATGGAAATGCCACAGACACTTGGTAATTGCAGAAAGTCGTAGAGAATCAGTAGCTAAGACAGTGCTCAGTTTTGGATATCTTTCCTATATTTATTCATTAAACACTGATTACTCCACCTCATATCAAGGCCTGTGGCTTACATTGTTCTTTTAAACTAATAGAACCTTATTCTCCCAATGAGCAATTTTAAGGTATAGCCTAAGTCTCATCATCTCGGGGTTTCTCTGCTCAGTAAAGTCTCCCCTCTCCCAGGCTCCCATTGCAGCCCTTTGTCATACGTGGTAAGCCCACTGAGGGCAAGGATCTGTCCCGATTTGTTTTAGGCGCCAGTGCAGCATCTGAGCCAAAGGCTCAGCTAATGTTGGCTGAAAGCAAGAAAAAGATGCCCCAATTCCTGTCTCACCACCTAGAAAACAGTCACTGTGGGTGGGCGAGTCATGAAAGGCAAGGCAGTATCCAGCTGGTGGTGATCTGGAGAGGTTGGAGGGAGAGTCGGGAGGGGCTTTAGAAACAGGGAGACACTTAGGTGGGAGCCGGTGGCAGAGATGTGGAGATGGTCACGTGATCAAACGCACCAGAGAGCAGAGAATAGTCTGATGAGTGCAGAATATATGAGTACAGCAACTCAATATAGAGACAGACAGGTAGCTTGGAGTCTTTCCTTCAGGGTGTTGGGAGCATCCCAAGTGTCCATCAGGTGGTAGCACCCACTTAACAGTCTAGAGCAGGAGTGTAATGGCGGGCAGACTATGCCTCCCACTTCCTGCTTCAGAGCCAGTACAGTTCTTTCTGAATTTAGCCCCATGGACTCTCCTTTGGGTCCTGGTGCTGTCTGTGTACCAGCAGATAGGAACAAATGCTTTCTAAGCAATCAACTGGCTTGTAGATGTAAGTTTTCTTGAGAAAAAATTTATATGTGTCTCAGTAGAAGCTTTTTCTTCAAAGCTCTGTCTAAAATCCATGATTCAGGCTGAACCTGGTCACCAGAGTTGCAACTCTCCAAACGTCAGCACCTAGTTCCTCAACAAAGCCTGTGGTGACTGAAGCAGCTGGAAACTCAGCTTATTGACAGGGTGGAATCTGGAAGCTTTAGGGGTGCAGAAGAAGGATTCCCTGTAACAAAGTAGTGAATCTCCCCTGTCACAACCTAGAAGAGAAGGCAAGTCAGGGAGATGCAGGGTTTCTTTTCTCTCTGAGAGTAATGGTGAACGTAGACAAGGGTCTTGACCCAGTAGGTACAGATTAGACATGAAGAAAAGCAGCTGTGCCTTTCTGTTCTTGGTTTCTGAGATGTATTCTTCAGTGCTTCCAAAAGACCTTCAAGAGAGAACACGGGCTCCAAGTTCTTTACAGAGTGAACACAGTTCAAGTTCAGCCTCTGCCCTTACATGGCTGCAGCCTCTGCCCTTACATGGCTGCGTGGTCCTGGGCAAGCCGTATAACTTCTGTTTGACTCCATTCTGTCCATGTCACGGATACTATTCCAGTCATTTGTTACATGGATCTCTAGTATAGAAGTCAGCCCTTTGTGACCTGACAATATTAAGCAGAAAAGTCTAGAACAGGCCATAGCATGTGAGTGCCATTTTGAATAGCACAATCAGGTCTTTCACCAACCTGCCTAACTCTTCCTGCATGGAATATAAATTATC